AGCAGATTGTGAAATACTCAGACCACACTCAAAATTGCTTAAATCACCTTTCTTTCCCATTCTGACGTTCAGTTTGCAGTTCAGGAGATTGTCTTGACCAGGACCACACCCCTAAATGCATTGAAGCAACTGCCATGTGATTGGTTGATTAGATCATTGCATTAATGAGAAATTGAACAGGTGTTCCTAATAATCCTTTAGGTGAGTGTATATAGCTATTTAGGTTCTTATTCGGTATTTATTTTAGAGAACATGCTATTTAAACAAAATAAGCATTGAATTATATGGTTACATTTTTTAGGATTAGAATAACTATTTAAATCTCAGCCACACTTTGTTGAATAATCTTGTGTTTTATGTGAATAAAGCATCAAGCATCAACAAGGCATGTGAGCATGACTATGTGAAATATAATATATAATATATTATTGCTTGACATATAGTGTTAGAGTGTTTGTCAACCTGCTGAAAGGGGCTGCATACCAATGCAGAGTGCTCACAGAAAGTCTTATGATGCTTGTTGAACTCCGTAAAAATATCGCAAATTTAGTGGCTTCATAACAAAAGTCCACTGCAGTTCCTGACATATTTATCTTCCAAACAGACATTTTTATTTTTTATTAAGCATCATAATTTTTTTTTTGATGTTCTTGCCATTTTGCCATAAATTGCAATTGTAGTTATTGGCTACTAAACACAGCGTTTTCTGTTTTGTGTTACTAATTAAAAAGCACGCAATGAGACTGATTATCAATGAACTTTTGAATTCGATTAACTCGAAATAGATCTTTTAGAACTATAATTTGAATTGCAATTTAATGCTACTTGAAATGTTTACTTAAAACTACCAGTCATTTTGAATTTGTTTTATAAACGAATAAAGTATTGATTTTTGTTATAAAACCAATAAATCCACTATATTTTTCAGAAATTAAGCAAGCGTCCCAAGACACTGTGAGCACTGTATCTTTGTAATTTCTCCTGACATATTCGTAATGTGAATGTCATGTATTTTCTGGAATTGTTTTTGAAAGCATCAAAGCCTCATTGATTGAGTAGTTATATTTTAGCATAGTGTGTGTAAGAGTATAGATTGAGTGCAAACTATTAAAATTAGGTGGGTGGTTTTTTTTTTTTTAAACCATTTTTTCTTGTCTAAGGATTCAGGAGGTTCTACACTTGCCTTTTTTTCCAAATCCTGTTGGTGTATCCTCTTTCTCATTTGCTTTTCATCTGGCACTGCATCGGACAGAAGGCACACACCCATGCATGACTAGTCAATGTTTATATTGGCAATGAAGTAAAAAGGGCAGCTTTCCTTTGTTGAAGTAAAAACATTTTGTTAGAATGGTGCCTGGCAGTTGTCTGATTCTGAGTCATTTCAGAATTGCATTTACATTTGAAGTTTACAAATAGAAAAAAGTTTTCTTTGTGTTTAAATGTTATGTATTCTCTAATCCACTACCATGAACATTGTGTTAAGGACGTTATAATGCAAAATACTGCTGAATTGATTCAATTTTAAGTAAGAGTTGACAGTGACAGTTGATGGTAAAAGGCATTTTGAAAGTCAACTCGGTATGCAGTCACCGAACCCAAAACCACATGGCAGGCACAAAAACAAACTTTATTGCTTTTAATTGTGTTACTATTTTATTAACGATGATGATGAAAATATTAGTAATAATGTATTTTATTGTAATAATGTGGTAACAGAATTGACAATCTACTGTTACTGTAACCTTAATATTTTGCAAAGAACCTGAGAATTAGGCTACATTCACAGTACAAGCCTCATTGTTGCCTATCTTGATGGTTCACATTCGTAATTACAAGTCACCTGTATCTAACTGTACTGTGAATGCATCTATTCTCCTAAAAAGCTTACATGTGCACATTGACATGTTTTTGCGCAAGTTGACAACAACAAAAACCGCTCGGTGTATGCGTATAGACAAAAAAACACACAAAGTCCAATCTGACCATTCTCATTCATGAGACATGACCACATTAGATATGTGGTCCTAGATTGGAAACATATGAAGCTGATTCAAATCTGATTTGAAAAGATCAGATATCTGTGTCCACACAGCCCTGAAAACATCAAATCTGTGTCACATTACAGGAAAAAAATAAAATCAAATTTGAGCCTTCAGCCTTTCGCCTGTTTCTACACTGTCTTCAAGATGGTGCTCAAGAGGAAAAGACATTGGTGGGAACAGGACCAAACCATTTCTGATTTTTGAGGGATTTTGTAACAGTTGACCAATCCCAATGGACAAAGTACTATATTTATTAATAAAACTGAAAATACTGAAAGTAGATCATATTGGGCCTGCAACCCACAGCAATCCAGTTGTTTATTTTTATTTATTTATTTATTTATTTATTTATCACTCAGGGGCCCTGGGAATTGTCCTAACTTCCCCCCCCTTTTCAGCACCGCTTGTTGCTACTGTAGGAACCATCACAAATTGGGTAGGGATTCATTTGTGCATAAAATATGCTTCAAAGCTAGCATGTATTAATATAGTCACTATAAGAGTAAGAAGATGTGATGAATCAGTTATTCAGGTGGCTAATCTACTGCATCAGTCTGTCACATCAGAATCAATCTTTAGCAGCAAAATAAAGAATCCTGTATCCGGGTCACTTGCTGAAATGTTCCCGTGCTGCAGGTAGACACGCAAAGTAGCAGCACTGGTACCCGAATTTCCAAAAAGTAGGATGGCAGGGCAAGGTTCATTTATATACATGAGGAAGCACTAGCTGGCCAAGTAAAAAGTAATGTTATTGTTAGAGATGCAGGATATATCGATTAACGTATCTCTATTGGCCGATATCTTGATTTTTAACAAATATCTACATTGGTCTGATGCGTCACTCTGATATTGCACCAGATGTAGTGCCAAAGACACCACTACGAGAATAATGGCAATGATTGCATTGAATGATTAGCTATTGGCCATAGGGATGATGTGGGGCTTTGTGGATTGTCAAAGTTCTGGCCTGTGACATGTTCATAATTATTAAATCTGGCCCTCAGAGCAATCTTTCGCTTTTTGCAGAAAAGTAAATAAAATAACGTCACTCTGTTTCACCGCGGGCAACAACCCCCCCCCCTATCAGGTAGCACTTCCTTTTATGTGTTTGTTTTTTTCTGTACAGCTCTGTTCAGTAGTAGGATTTTTGGCAACTTACACTGAGTTTTTCTCCCTGTATAATAAAAATAATAATCATAATAATAATAAATAGCAACATGTTCTGGGGTCCTGATTTTTTTTTTGTATTCCACTAATAGTGCGTAATTAAGTCCCAACGGTAATATATGTGAATTTTTGTAAGTGAGCTAAAAACAAAAGGGTTTGTATTTAGGTTATCAAAATTATCATTTAATCGAATCGTGATAGTAATGAAAGATTTCCAATGCATCAAATCAATCCCTCAGTCATAATCAAATGGCTTTGTGGCCAGTGATTGGTATCCCTAATTTCTCTCTCTCTCTCTATAATATAATATTATGACATTAAAAAAATATATAAGAACCGTTTAGTCCAGTGGGCACAAAATGTTACCATGATTTTTAAGTGACTCCTGTATAATCCTGTTTCATTGAAGAATTGAACCCTTGGTAATGTGATAGAGTAACAAAATCTCATTTTGAATATGAGAATTACTTGAGCCAACAGTTAAGACGAGGCTGAATAGGAGATCATCTCCAGGATTTCCCCTGGAATTCTATCCCTGATTTAGTTACTCTTGCTGTTACTGAAGACTATAATGCGTGCTGTTTAGATCCTTTGTCCTCAGGTTTTTTTTTTCCTGCTGTTGCCAGTTTATGGGTGCAGTGTTAAAGTTCTGTTATGACCTTTTGTTGCTGTTTTTCAAACATCATTAAGAGACTGGCCTCTGAGGATGGGTTTTAGGTTCTGAGGAGACAAATCAGAGCCTATATGAACCTCTTCAGGTCAGTTGGTATCGCTTGCGCTTTCGTTATTACTGTCGTTTAACATTAAATTAATGCAAAACATTTTCTAATACAGCTGGGTATTTCATTAGTCCTTGGTACTAAAGCTGTCTTTCCTTAAACTTGAATGATCTGTCTGTATTTTATGACTCCCTGATTTTTAGCCACTCCTGTCCACTGATTTTTCAGGATTTTGTGTTGTGACATTGGAAATACTGACTGTCATTTTTTTATTCACTAATGTGCTTTTCGGCCAGTTGGATGTTGATTTATGCATTCCTTCCATGTCTGCCGATACTGTGGGTGAGTGGAATGCCGGTGCTGTTTGTCTCAGCGTAATCTCTGGCTTTTCTGGCTTACGTGCATTTCAAGTTGTGAAGAGACTCTTGGCACCTTTGATTGTAAGTTGGTAGCTGCATGCTTCACTGATGCAAAAAAATCGTCCAAAGTAAAAACACTAGGATTAGACAGTAAGAAATAGAGATGCACCGATCCAATATTTGGATTGGTTATGGTGCCGATCCAGACCTTTTTGACAGATCGGGTATTGGTTTCTATAGCCTAATTAAAGATTCTTTGGCACACATTTTTTGTTTATATTTACTAGCTTAAAATATAAATTATATAAAGATAAATATGTAGTGTGTGTATATTTATTATATTAAAATATTAAAGTAAAATGAGCCCTTGTATCGGAATCTTCATTGGTATTGGCAGTTGTGTATCGGAATTGGTTTGGAACTGAAACAATGTGGATCGTTCCCTCCTTAGTAATAAATGAGGAATAGTAAAGGAAAGCAGAATATATGCAACATAAGATGTGTGCTCCAAAAAAGTGCATGTTGCATGGGTAAAGAGTGAATGTTTAATTACAGCTGCCAATTAAGTGTTAAGCAGTCTGATGGCCTGAGGGCAGAAACTCCTCCTGAGCCTCTCAGTTCTCACTGAGAGACGGCAGCAGCGCTTGCCAGACCTCAGCCTTGTAAAGAGGCAGCTGTTTAGGTGGGTTGTGTCTCTGCTGTGACAGCTCCTGTTCCTGCATCGTTTGAGGTAAATGTCCAACAGGCAGGGCAGGTCAGCCTTGCAGACATATTCAGATGAACGTACCACTCACTGCAGAGCTTTGCAGAGCAGTTACCAAACTGCAGAAGACACTTAACCTTGTGAACAGGATAGCTCAATTCGATCGCAACTATTTAGTCTATTTGATCTTTGATAGATTTTATTACCACTTCACAAAAAAAAAACGTTATATGGATGAAAATGTACACCTGACCTCCTGGAATAGCATTGTCTGAATACTGTATAACGCGGGATAATGTTTGGACAGTTTGACGGTATGAAAAATTAGATGCTGCCCAAGGCTAGTGCAGAGGGGCTAGATAGAGGCTGAGGGGTATGGGTACAGTAGGAATTAG